GGCTGCTCTTCCAGAGGTCCTGAGTTCAATTCCCAGCACCCACATGGTGGCTCACAACCATCAATAATGAGATCTGGTGCCCTCTTCTGGCCTGCAGGGAAACATGCAGACAGAACACTGTATACATAGTAAATAAATGATAAATCTTTAAAAGAAAAAAAAAAAGAAATCTGCTTCCTTGTTCCTTGTCTTCTTTACCAGACATCTTAAAAGAACTGAGATGAAAACTTATGTATTTATTCATAACAATACTGACTAACAAACACTTACTAGTTTGATTACTGTTTGGGGACTTTTCATTACCATTTCTGATAGATGTTAATGGATAAAAGTGAAGAACATGAGCTGCCTGTCAAAGAACAGCGGCCATGGGGTTGGAGAAACGGCTCAGTGGTTAAGGGCACTGACTGCAATTCCAGAGGACCCAGGTTCAAATCCCAGCACCCACATGCAGCTCACAACTGTCTGTCACTGCAAGATCCGCCACCCTCACACAGAGAGCGCAACAAACAATCGCAAACAAAACACCAGTGTACATAAAATAAAAGTCAAAAAAACAGCAACAGTGGCCAGTCTTAAACGATAGCAGCCCAGGCTAGCCTCAGACTCCACATATAGACAAGGCTAACCTTGAATGCCTGCCCTCTTGCCTCCTTTCTGGAGTGTCGGGATTACAGGCATGTGTCCGCCCTGAGAGGCTGTTTAATGTATTTTTTTTTTTTGCCAATAATATTCATATATTGGTGGCTGATAAACTCCTACGTAAGTCGTTAACCAGTTTCAAATTCCAACCTGGGTTCTTTTTCCCCTGTGAAGTTGGGCAGTGAAGGAGACTTTTATTCCTGGGCAAGAATAGTCTAGCCCTTAGCCTGGCATATAGTGGCGCACACTTTTGATGGCAGCACTCAGGAGGCAGAGGCAGGTGGATCTCTGAGGCCAGCCTGGTCTACAGTGAGTTCCAGGACAATCAGGGCTACACAGAAAAAAACCCTGTGTTGAAAAAACAAACAAAAAGAATAATCTACCCTTATTTACTCTTTGCTATTCACACCAAGGCAGGTGGTCAACTGGAAATAATCCCAGCACTTGTGAGGGGAGGTGAGAGCAGATGGAACAGGAGTTCGAGGCCAGCCTCAGCTGTGTATCGAATTTGCAGCCTGGGCTCCAAGAGACCTTCTCTCAAAACAAACGAAACAAAAACGGAGCAGGAGAAAGCTCTCAAACCACTGGGGGCTGGAAGGTCACAGACACAGGGTAAGAGAAAGCTGAGCGTGCGGCCCTCAGGAGGCCGAGGCAGGGGTGTTAGTTTGAGGACAGTCTGGGCTATGTTATGAGACCCTGTTCCAAAAAAAAAAAAAATCAAACCAACCAAGAGCACATGGTCCACACCTGTGATCCTATTGCTCTGGATGCAAAGACAGGTGAATTGTTGCAAGTTCAAGGCCATACAGGGGGGCTACACAGGGAGACTTTTCCTAAAAAGCAAGGAAAAATATGGGGTAAAAAATTAGGGACAAAGGATAGGCTAATGAAGGGAAAGAATATTCATGTGTTTTCCAGGAATATTCATGTATTTTCCAGAGATTTTTCTAGAAATTGAACACCACCTCTTTTCACACAGTGTTTACATGGGACAAGAGGGAAGATAATGTTTTGGTTGCAAAGGGATCACTGAAGACAGACTGAGGGACACGTATTTCTCATGAAGAATGACATCTAGTGACTGAAAAAAAATGTAGATTGTAGAGAATTGGGGACTGGCTTCTTGGTGACACAATCAACAGGTCCTTGCTTTTTTGTTCTGTGTTAGTGTTTTGTTTTTGAGGGGAGGTCTCACTAGGTAGCCCTGGAGTTCACAATGAAAACCCAAGGGGCTGTAACTTCCCAGGGACCATCTTGGTTCTCTGTCCTAAATGCTACCGGTCTGTGCCACCAGGCCCAGCTTTCCATGAAATGGTTGAGAGGAAACAGGCCAGGTAGCACACCTGACTCACACACAAGGCCTGAGTCCAGTCCCAGAAGTGAAGAGAGGAAGGTAATGAGATGCCTGAAGGCTAGCCGTGTGAAGCAGCTTGGAAGTCAGGATGAAGGTGAGAAATGCAGATTGTTTTCCTCTACCTAACCTTAGATGACAGGTGACCGAGGCAAGGAGATGGACAGAATCCCCCAGCAGGAGAGACAAATCCTGGAAACGTTAGTATTTCAGAATTGGTAAGAGCAGAAAATCACCAGGAGCCACCGAAGATAATGTATAGACAACATACTGGGTAGGCTATGGGACAAATGTCCCCAAGGTAGGCCTTGGAGAGGATGTACTGGCCATGCATGGGGCACGCTGACCTTAGCAGTAGCTTCAGAATAGAAAGCAGTGGGTTAAATAACATACCAGTTCTGAATGTGCCCTTTTGGCCAGGTTTGTGCAAGGAAACATGAAGCTGTGTCAGCAGAGGGCACTAGAGAGCACCAGCAAGGGAAAAGGGTTATTCCCTTAGTGCTGATGGAGGCCAGCGGCCACTTCATGATCCCACTCCTGCAGCATGTGTGGCACTCACAGCCAGCAGCTTCTCCAAGGGCCCTCAACACACCTGCTGGTGCAATTTCATAGAATGCCATTTATTAATTTTGTAACTGGAGTTTCTCTGTCCCGCCCGTTCCACAGCTGCTTCCAAATAATCACGCTAAGGCTTATATTAAGTATGTTTGGCCGGTCAGTGGTGGCGCACACCTTTAATCCCAGCCCTCGGGAGGCAGAGCCAGGCAGATCTCTGTGAGTTCGAGGCCAGCCTGGACTACAGAGGGAGTTCCAGGAAAGGCGCAAAGCTACACAGAGAATCCCTGTCTCGAAAAACAAAACAAAGTGGCTGGAGAGATGGCTCAGTGGTTAAGAGCACTGACTGCTCTTCCAAAGGACCTGGGTTCAATTCCCAGCACCCACATGACAGCTCACAACTGTCTGAAACTCTAGTTCCTGGAGATCTGACACTGTTATACCAATGCACATAAAATAAAGTTAATAAATTATTAAAAAAGAAAAACAAAACAAACAAAAAAAGTATGTTTGGCCAATGGCTCAGGCTTATTACTAGCTAGCTCTTACATTTAAATTAACCCGTTTCTAATCATCTATTTATTACCACATGGCATCTTGTTCTTGGGCAGCTGGCTGGCTAGTCTCTCAACTCTGCCCTTCTGCATCTCTGTCTTCAGTTTGAATGTACCGCCTAAACTTATCCTGGCCAAACAGCTTTATTTACCAACCAATGAGAGCAACACATATTCACAGTGTACAGAAAGACCATCCCACAGCATTATTAATTAATTAATTTGTTTTTTCGAGACAGAGTTTCTCTGTGTAGCTTTGCGCCTTTCCTGGGACTCACTTGATAGTCCAGGCTGACCTCGAACTCACAGAGATCCGCCTGCCTCTGCCTCCCGAGTGCTGGGATTAAAGGCATGCACCACCACCGCCCGGCCTAATTATTTATTTTTTAGAAAGGGTCTATGGAGTAAGGTAGCTCTCTTGCTGGCTGGCCTGGAACTCAGTATGTAGACCAGGCTGGCCTCAAGCTCTCAGAGATCCATGCATCTCTGCTTCCCAAAGCTGAGATCAAAGTGGGACCCTGTCTGAAGAACGCCTGAGGTATTCAAAGTGAGACACTTTCTGTGAACAGCTTTCTCCCCAGTACTGTGTGTGGCAGAGTCAGCCTGGACCATCGTAGTTGTGTCCCAAAAGGCTTTGCTTATATTTCACATCATTTTCACGTGCTAAGTAGCATTATTATGATTTTGTTTTCTCCAAAACATTGAAAAAACACAAGTTTTAGTCACTTTTCTCATTGCTACAACAAAAATACCCGGCAAGAGCGACTTATAGAGGGGAAGGCCCCCTTCGGCTCGAGTCCATCACGGTGGCAGGAATCTGAGGCATCTGATCACATTACATCAGTGGTCAGCAGTGATGACTGCTGCAGCCAGCCCACTTGCTGTGTGCACACATGCATATTAAGGTAGTCTTCAGTGAAGACTTACATGATGGGTGGTCTCACGTCCTGTATGTGTAAGGAGTCAGGAAAAGCCCTAGCTTGTGGTAAAACTGTAGCATGCTTCCTAGTAGAGCAAATTGAACCCAGGGCCTCTCACATGCATGTACCACCACTGAACCCTCCCCCTACCAAACCCCCCCCCCCAGCTCTCAGAATGTTATTGATGGTCAGGGTCTCACTGTGTAGCTGCAAACTCTGTCTACATAGCCTGGGCTGGCCTCAAAACAACAATCATGCCTTAGTCTCCTAAGTGTTGAGATTATAGGCATGAGCCACAACACATTATCAGAGTTTTTTATGTTTTGATTTTTATTTCGTTCAGATAGGGTCTCAGATAGCCAAGGGCAGTAAGTCCTTAAGTGGATATGTAGCAGAGGATACCTATCAAACCCTAATCCTCTAGCATTGAAGGGGTTAAACTCTCCACTTTGACAACTGAATTTAGGTTCCAGCTCTCTGAGAAGGACAAACAGGTGTCTCTCCCAACAAAGGGACATTTATCTCCAAGTCCTCACATTCAGGGTCGCAGGAGAGAACAAACAGCGAGGGTCTAAGTCAGCGTCACGGCATCTCAAGGACAAACCCAGCAGTCCCTTCCGAGTCACGGCCAAGCTTGTGCAGATGTGTCCAGAAATGATAGGACCAAACCTCGGCCAGTTAACAGTATACTAGTGTTAACTGCTGCCTGCTTAACCAGTTATGTATGACCCGGAAACTCGCCTTAGCTGTGCTTAAAAAAAGCCTGCACGCTCATCTCAAGGTATGGTAACGCTCTTTGCTCTTGCATACTATTTGAGTCTGGGGTCTTCCTTCAGTGTGTCCTCAGACCCCACAGCACCTACCCCCCAAGAGCAAGAATTACAGGTTTGTGCCATTTTGCAGTACCCGATCATTTAAAAATTTATTATCTCCTATATGCATATGCTAGGAAATTTGATTCAAACAAACTTGGAAAACTCGGTTTAAAAAATGTTTTATTTCATTAAAAAAAGTTTATTATGTACAAGACTCAGGCACATAGAAACTCAGCTTTAATCAGAAAACGACACTAGTCATCGCATTCTACCGAGGAATGTTTGTGACGCACACTCTTCAATACTAAGCATAAATTATTTTAACTATGCAGGCTAAGTTCTGAGTTCCACACCACACCTGCACATAAGACATTTGTCTAATTTTAAGATTGGTAATGCCAATGACAAGCTGCTTGTATTTATAAGTACAAATTTCATTATTACAAATATGTGATGATAACTAACAAAACAGAAATCCTTTAGAGGTCTTGTCCCATGTTTATACATTTGCCATCTGAGGTCTTTCGCCAATTCCCCTTTGGTGGTTCCATTCTCAAAGCAGAGCAGTTAGGCGTTGAGTTCTCTATGTATCTCACCCATCTCCTTTATCTGCAATGAAAAGGAGCATGCAAGAAAATGTAAGTAACTTTCAATTCTTTGTTCATTCAGAAAAGGTTTTTTTTTTGTTTTTGTTGTTGTTGTTGTTGTTTGGTTTTTGGTTTTTCGAGACAGAGTTTCTCTGTGTAGCTTTGCACCTTTCCTGGAACTCACTTTGTAGACCAGGCTGGCCTCGAACGAACTTACAGAGATCTGCCTGGCTCTGCCTCCCGAGTGCTGGAATTAAAGGTGTGCGCCACCACCGCCCGGCTTTTTTTTTTTTTTTTTTAAAGATTTATTTATTTATTATGTATACAGCATGTATGACTGCAGGCCAGAAGAGGGCACCAGATCTCATTACAGATGGTTGTGAGCCACCATGTGGTTGCTGGGGATTGAACTCAGGACCTCTGGAAGATCAGTCAGTGCTCTTGACCTCTGAGCTATCTCCCCAGCCCCAGTAAAGGTTTTTTTGTTTGTTTGCTGTCCCCTCCAAACAGAGTTTCCCTGCATAGACCTAGACCTGGACGTCCTGGAATTTGCTCTGTTGACCAGGCTGGCCTTGAACTCACAGAGATCTGCCTGCCTCTGCCTCCCCAGTGCTGGGATTAAAGGGGTGGGACACTACCACTTATCTTTAAGTTTTAAGACAAGGTAGCCCTGGCTGACCTGGAACTCAATATTTATAGATCAGACTGGCCTTCAACTCAAGGTGATCCACCTGCCTCAGCCTCCTGAATGCTGGGATTTCAAGTGTTAGCCACCACACCTGACGCAGTCTTTTCTTTTACAAGCAAAGAAACTGAAGTACAGAATTAAGTGGCCTCCCAGACCAAAAGCCTTAGTTCCAGGCTGACCAAGACAATGAAGTAGACTACCACCATTGGTAAACATCTCACAAGAGATAAACTCGGGGCCAGCACGTGACAGAGTGCTCGGTCAAATCCTTAGGGACAGGTTTGCACTTTCCATTTTGCAGATAAGGAAGCATGGAGATGTATAGAAGTCCTGGCACTTGACTAGCTGATAAGTGGTCAAACTCAAATCTTACAGTTCTTCTAACACACTGCTGTTCTGCCCGAGTATTACATTTCACTTCAGGGTCAGTCCTGTGCTGACTGAGCCAGACGAACGAGATCAAACTATGGCACTTGGAGACACTTCAGAACTTCCTGGTTCTGTCAGATTATTAATTCTTTTATTTGTTATTTTGAGACAGAGTCTCATGCAGCCTAGCCTGGTTCTCCCCCCATGGTTTTGACCTCCTACCACTATCTACCAGGTGCTGGAAATACAAGAGCAGGGCACCAACACTCTTTGCTGCTGTTGTTTGGAGGCAGGGTCTCCCTCTAGTCCTGCCCGACCCAAACTCACAACGATACTCCTGCTGGGCTTGAACTCACAGGGAACACTCCTAGCTCAAGTACTGAGATTACGAGTATGAAACAGCATGCCCCACCCACCTCTCTCTTTTCTTTGTTATTTTCTAGGAAGTGATATATACATGACTACAAATCAAGAGTCGTACCAGAATTGGTAAGTGTGCATGCACGCACACACATTATCCTCGGAGTTCAAGGACAAATTCAAAATTACCCATTTCCTCACCATCGTCTGGGACTAGCTAGCATCTAACAGATTTACTAGGTCAACTTAAGTTCATCTTAACTGATTTTTCTCCTTTTTTAGGTTTTTCGAGACAGAGATTCTCATTTCTGTGTGTGTAGTTGTCCTGGAACTCACTCTGTAGACCAGGCTGGCCTCGAACTCACAAGAGATCTGCCTGCCTCTGCCTCCCAAGTGCTGGGATTAAAGGCGTGCACCACCACCGCCCAGCGGCTCTGTGATTCTTTTTTTTTTCTTAAAGATTTATTTATTATATATACAGAAGAGGGCGCCAGATCTCATTACAGATGGTTGTGAGCCACCATGTGGTTGCTGGGAATTGAACTCAGGACCTCTGGAAGAGTAGTCGGTGCTCTTAACCTCTGAGCCATCTCTCCAGCCCCTATGATTGTTATAAACTGGTAGAGACATAGGAAAACAGCAGTCATACTGAGTTTCTCCAACACTGCTCCACTAGAATGTGCCTCCACAAGACTCTATTTTGCGTTGAAACTAAAGCAACAGGTTTGTATAGCACTTGTCTAGGAAGCAGAAAGCAGTATGAAGTGGCCTGTCATGGAACTCAAAATTAGATAAGTGCTCATCCCAAGACTGTCCCTAAGACAGCGTGAAGGATGTCGGTGAAAATGTCTTGTCAGTATCTAGGAAAGGGCAGTGATTACTGGGAGTGAGACATTCAGTATAGCCATTATCCACTTACCTCCGCCTTCTCATATTTTGTTGATTTCTTCCTTGTAGAAATAACCTGGAAGAAAAATGGTCACTGTTTTAGAAAATACTACAATCCTTTTTGTAGGATCCCTCATCAACTTGTAAGAATTCTTTACATGTCATGCATAATATCCATTTCATTTTATGCATCATATACATTTCCCCAACTTATTTCTGTTTTTGTTGTTGTTGTTTTTCCCAGACAGCGTTTCTTGTGTAGCCCCAGCTGCCCTGGGATCTCACTCTGTAGACCAGGATGTCCTAGAACTCACAGAGATCCACCTGCCTCTGCCTCCAGAGTGCTGGGTTTAAAGGTGTGCGCCATCACACCCGTCCATTTCTATTCTTTACAATATCTTTGCCATGAAAATGTGATTTTTTTTTTTTTTTTTTTTTTGGTAAATACCTAAAGCCAACCTCACTCTCAATCCTCCCCCTGCCTCAGCCCCTTGAGAATGAGAACTACAGGTGGGAGCCACTAAGCCCAACCCAAAATGTTAAAACGTTTAATGTTAGTTGGACATAGAGGCACACTCTTAGAGTCCCAGCGGAATGGGATGACCAGTGGAACCCCGGAATTCTATCCCAACCTAGGTAGACTCCTGTCTGGAGAAACAAACAAACAAACCAACCAACACGAGGGGTCGGAGACGGCTCAGTGAGTGATGTACTTCTTACTCGAGCAGGAGGACCTGAGTTCTGTCCCCAGGACCTCTGTGAAGAAGCCAGGTGTGGCTGCGTGTGCCTGCAAGCCTAGTGCTGGGAAATAGAGACTGAAATGCTGAGTTCCAAGTTCGGAGAGAAACCTTATCTCAAAAATTAAAAGATGGTTCAAGGCCAGCCTGGTCTACATAGTGAGTCCCAGGATAGCCAAGGCTGTGTAGTAAGACCCTGTCTCAACAAACCTAAATAAATAAATAAAAATAATAAAATTTAAAAAAAGGGAAAGTACAGAGGAAGACTCCCAGTGTTGACCCCTGACCTCCATGCATGAGGGTACTGAGGGGCAGTGTACCCACAAACCCTTTCACACACAGGCACACACCACAAACACCCCATCCCACCCCCCCCACACAAACACACACAGTAAAAACTGGTGCTGCAGAGACGGATCAGCAGCTACAGTAATCCCAGCACAGGCCACAGGCCTGGAGTTCGGATCCCCAGAACCCACAGAAATCCTGGGTGGGGGTGGAAAGAGCCCTGAAGCTCTGGCCTTCGAAGGCAGAGATGAGATCCCCAGGCTGAGCACAAGCTGGCTGGCCGGCCTCGCCATATCAGCCTACTCTGGGTTTGATTGACAGAGCATGCCTTGAGGAGTAAAGAAGAAAGCCGCAGCATTAACCTTGGGCCTCCATATGCACCACACACGAGTGTACGGGTACTTGTACACACATGTGTCCCCACATGTGAACACATAACTCAGGCATACCACACACAGAGACATGTAAGAAAATAATGCTTAGTCCAAAGTTGGTGGAACTGTCTGGTTAGGAAGGATTAGGAGTGTGGACTTGAAGGAGGTGTGTCGCTGGGCTTTGACGGTTCAGAAGCCCATGTCATATCTCTCCCTCTCTCTCTCCCTCCCTCTCTCTCTCTCCCTCCCCTCCCCTCTCTCCCACTCTCTCTGCCTTGTGATTGCAGATCAGATGTAAGCTCTCAGCTACTACTCCTGCCTGCCACCATGCTCCCCACCATCATGAGGAACTCTCTGAAACTCTGAGCAAGCTCCCCCAATAAACTCTTTCTCTTTATAAGTTGCCTTGGTCACAGTGTTTTGTCCCACCAATAGAAAAGTAACAGTTGGGGACACTGAGGTAGCCCAGTGGCAAAGCGCTTCCCCACTATTAGAGGCCCTAAAATCTAATTCCTAGAACCACGAAGCTGAATTTATGCATTAGTATCTATCCCTTTATGGATTTTAAGTTTCTTGCATTGCATGGTTCTTTTACTGCAAAACATCAACATTCCTTATACTAATTTCCTTTGAGATTATCTTCTTCCATTCCATCCAATAATCCACCTGGAATTCATGTTTCAACACAATGGTCCAACTCTTTTCATGCTCCCATGCCCTGACTTGCCTGTCCCATACGAGTGGGTAACAGCCAGCCCCCATAGGATAAAATAGGAATTCTGTCTGTCTGTCTTTCTTTTTCTCTCTTCTCTTTTTTTAAAAGATTTATTTATTTATTATGTATACACTGTTCTGCCTGTATGCCAGAAGAGGGCACCGGAGCTGTGAGCCACCATGTGGGTGCTGGGAATTGAACTCAGGACCTCTGGAAGAGCAGCCAGTGCTCTTAACCTCTGAGCCATCTCTCCAGCCCCTGTGTTTCTTTCTTATCAGATGTGAACCAAGTGTGGTAACAATACTGAGCTGCAAATCAAGTCGCCATGCACCTTCAAGTCTGTGTTTTTCTTTATATAGGGCAGTGGGACTTTTTAGGATAATATCTTGCTGGCCTTAATGTCTCCCCCCTCAAGACTTTTATTTATTTTATTTTATGTACATGTGTGCCTGGTGCCCAGTACCTGGTACCTATGAAGATCAGGAGTCAGATCCCTTGGAATTAAATTACAGAAGGTTGTGAACTCCCATGTGGGTTCTGGGAACCAAATCCAGGTAGTCTCCAAGAGCAACAAGTGCTCTTAATGACTGAACCATCTTTCCAGGCCCTACCTTTAAAGTCTTGATCCTCCTGCCTCAGCTTCTCAAGGGCTTGGAATACACAACTATGTCATCACACCCCACTGTAATCGGTTTATGAATTCTGATACACTGATGAGACCACCTGATGCCAAGCACCCTTACTTAAGGCCCTGGGGAAAAGCTCACTTCTTTAGATCCCTAGTACCCCAGCCTTCGCCTCCCAATGCTGGGATCATGGGTACGTGCCGTTGTACCCAGTGCAAAGTTGCTATTTATTTAGAATCTCTGCTACTTGTACCGCTTTTGATTCTTTTCTTGCTCACTTAGCTTTGGGTTGTTTGGGGCCAGGCGTAGCTCCGTGGTGTAGGGACAGCCTGGAAGGCTGCAGCCCGAGCTCAGCCCTCCAGCGCCACCACAAACAAAAACAAGGGCTGTGCTGCCCAGCTCAGGAAACGTTTTGGGAGTTCTCTATTCTGTGTTCCGGCAGGAGCACTGAGTTCCTTACAGAGAACTCAGGCCAGCTGCTGCTGGAAGGCCGTGGGGGGCCAGGCTTCGAGGTGTTCAGCTGTAAGCGTCTTTCTTGTGAGTAATCCTTTCTGACTTTAGAAAGTGACTCTTTAGTAAAAAGGAACCTTCACTAACATTTTCAAACATGATAGTTCCTGTGTTTGTTTCTTGTGATTTTTTTTCGAGACAGGGTTTCTCTGTGTAGCCCTGGAACTCCCTCTGTAGACCAGGCTGGCTCAAATGCAGAGATCCACCTGCCTCTCTCTGCCTCCTGAGTGCCGGGATTGAAGATGTGCGCCTCTCCCCCGATCCCCACCCCTCCACCCCTCCACCATGGCTATGATCCTCAGCAATCCCCTTTAAGAAGACTTCCTCCGGTGAGCCCCAGCTCACTCTGTACTCACCAGCACTACTACCCCTGCGATGATTGCCAATGCCACCACCACAATGACGGCAATGATGCCGGCTGTGAGACCCTGCATGGAGAACTCAGGTGGTTTTTCATCAACATAGTAAACGATGGTCTGCCCAGGCTCCAGCTCAAGCTGTTCTCCATTTACCATCAGGTCCATTTTCGAAGAAGGGAACAAGGATTCCCCTTTCACCTGCGATGGAGAGAAAGAACGAATCAGCCATGGGCACCAATAATTACATACCACTTACATGCCAGAGGGAAAACCTGCCAAGAGTCCTTACAGTTAACAATCTGATCCAGTGAAACGTTACAACACTATTTATTACAGGAAAACACCATACACATGAGCAGTAAGGAAGCCATGTTCCTCCCCTCCAGATTAGCAAATATCAATCAACACACGGACAGTTTAGTCTCATCACTCTTTCTTCTATCCCTTCGTCTCCCACACCCAAAGTATTCTAAAGTAAATCTCAGAGGAAAATGTCTCGTTATAAGAAACACAAGTTTAGCCAGGTACTGCGTCTTCCATCTGTAACCCTAGGGCCTAGGCTGAAGCAGGAGGCCTACCCTCTACCATGAATTCTAGGTCAACCTGGGGTACTGTACAATTCTGTCAAAAAAAGAAAGAATGAGAAAAAACAGCAGGGCGGTGGTGGTGCACACCTTTGACCCCAGCACCTGGGAGGCAGAGCCAGGCGGATCTCTGTGAGTTCGAGGCCAGCCTGGTCTACAGAGTGAGATCCAGGACAGGCACCAAAACTACACAAAGAAACTTTGTCTCGAAAAAACCAAAAACCAAAAACCAAAAAACAAAAAACAAAAAAAAGAAAAAAAAAGAAAGAAAAGAAAAAAGAAAGAATAAAACAAAAACATATGCTTATAAAAAAATTGGCCTTGAACTCAGTCCTCCTGCCTCAGTCTCCAGAGAGCTAGGAAGACAGGTACCAGGATATAGCATGCACTATTACCTCCGGCCTTTACCTAAATGTTTTAAAAATGGAGACAGACTTGACATCTCAGCGATGAAGAGCATTTAAGAGGACCTGAGTTCAGCTTCAGCGCCCACAGCAGGCGGCTCACAAGCAACTGTAATCCAGGTCTCTGGGGGCCGACTGGCCTCTGGTCTCCGAAGGCCCTTGCACCAGTGTGTACAATGTGTATGTAGATACACACAGACACACAGAATTTGAAAAATTAGTCACATGGAGACTGACTCCTCGTCATAGAAATTATTGGAATAATAGGTGGAGACTATATATACACCAATGTAGTAACTAACCAAAGAGAAAATAAGAATTCTAAGAGAAAGCTAGGTGGACATAGCTTAGTATAGGCAGTTTTTCCAGCCTACCTGGGTACATACTGGGTTCAGTCCCTAACACAGCAAAGATTAAAACAGAAGAGTCAGAGGGGGCGAGAGGTTGGCAGAATGCTTACCTAGCATGTGTAGGTCCAGGGCTCAGTCCCCAGCATGACAGAGACTAGTCAGTGTCACACACTTGTAATGCAGCACTTGGGACTATTACATCACAGTCCCCTAGCTGCCCCTCCTCCCCCTAAGATACCAGGCATGGATTTTCGGCCACCTGTATCCCCTGCCAACAGAAACTGTGCTTCTCTGCTCAGATCTGCTGCTCCTAACAAAACAACTCTGATGTCTGGACACACTCCCAAACTGGCTTGGAGCTCTGGTCAGGCTCCCCAGTCCCCAGGAAAGTTATCAAAGGGTTCTTTCTGGCTCTCTGGCTCTTGAGTTGGTCTGCTCATGCCATGCCAGCCAGGGTAGATATCTCTATTCTTTTATTTTACGTTTTCTTTGCTTTAGATTTACTTTTTGTTATTCTTCACTTCCTTTCAGTTGAGAGCTGCCTGATGTGCTCCCTGGGGATCAAATGCAGGTCCTTTGGAAGAACAGTGCATGCTCTTAACTGCTAAGCTGTCTCTCCAGCCCTGCTCGACACCTAATGTTTCACAAAGTCTATATATAATGTTCTCCCACCCCATGGCTTCCGGAATGAGGCACCATCCCTCATAATGCTCTCCTACCTCACAGTCCAACCACAGCCCCATGCTTGCATGGCCCCCTCTCCTTGTAAAGCCCATCTGCCGAAGGGTAATTTCACATCACCTCCTTTCCTGAAAGGCTACTTCTCTGTTTTTCTTACTAGAGCTCAGTACTTGGGAGACGGAAGCAGAAGGATCAGGAGTCCAAGGTCTGCTACACAGAGAGCTTGAGGCCTCGACTGTGTGAGAGCCTGTCTCAAAAAGAACATGGTGGCCTATGTCTTTAACCCCAGCTCTGGAAGGCAGAGGCCAGCAGATCTCTGTGACTACAAGGAGAGCCTAGTCTAGATATATCTTGAGTTCCAGGACAGCCAGGGCTATATAGAGATTCTATCTCAAAACAAACAAACAACAAAATACTAAGCTTTAAAAAAACTTATGGTTTGCCGGGCGTTGGTGGCGCACGCCTTTAATCCCAGCACTCGGGAGGCAGAGGCAGGCGGATCTCTGTGAGTTCGAGGCCAGCCTGGGCTACCAAGTGAGT